TAAATGTAATACTAATAATCAATAATAAATAATTAATTAATCAATAATAAATAATTAATTAATCAATAATAAATAATTAATTAATCAATAATAAATAAGGAGTAAAAAGTTAACAAACAACACTATAGAATAGCTACAAATAACTGCATTCTGATACACAATTATTTCTACTCAATAGCCTCTAGAATAATTTGAATCATAACCATTACCACCTACCCAATAACCATTGGGATAATACAATAATCCTTGCTACCCATAATGCACCATTGATCAGCCTATATAAATAGTTGAGCCAAATCACAACACACCTAGACTGAAAATTACATTTGAGCATGAAACAGACTGTTGCTACTCAGTGTTGACATCAGTGTCAAACTTTATATTTATATTTATATATATATATTTATATTTATTATTTTTTATATATATATATATATATATATATATATATATATATATATATATATATATATATATGGCCCATCCCAGTGTCACCAATCCAGACTCCTTATCAAAACAAGGCATCCTCTTAAATAGCCCCATACATTCTCACCAACTGCTCTCTAAACTAAATTCAAAACACTTATTCCAAGACAGTCACTCTAGGGCTGAGGAGGACTGGCATATGGTTGTGCTAGTCTGAAATAGACTATACCCACATGAGGTAATTTTTGATTTTGTGGTGTATAATATAAATATATATATATATATGTGTGTGTGTGTGTGTGTGTGTGTGTGTGTGTGTGTGTGTGTGTGTAATGACATATTAAAGAACTTCTGTATTATTGCAGACCAAATTCTTTACAATTTTATATATATTTCATATATATATTTGTTATGGTAATTTACCCACACACGCATGGACTCTCCCAGCTATAAATAGGAGCAGGTACTGCCTTTTGGAGAGGGATGTTTCCAGCAGTCAGCTCTGACAGTAGGATTGAACATTCTTGCTCTAACACTCACGTTTGTATATGTTTGTATTACTGTTTCAGTTATTATATTTCTTTAACTCAATTCCTCTCTTTGTGTCTTTATTTCTGGCCCTAACAAGGCCACAACAATATTATATATATATATATATATATGTGTGTGTGTGTGTGTGTGTGTGTGTGTGTGTGTGTGTGTGTGTGTGTGTGTAATAACATATTAAGGAACTTTTGTATATTTATATTTATTATATATATGTATATATTATTGTGTGTAATGACATATTAAAGAACTTCTGTATTATTGCAGACCAAATTCCTTACAATTATATGAAATGTGTCACTTAACTCTATCTACACCTTCTCCATCTCATATTTTCCCTATCTACAACTTCTCTAATTCTGAATTATGTCAGATGATTCACCTTTTGTGGCTCACCATTTAATACCAAGCCACAAGTACTAAAATGGGCCAAATCAAATACCAATAAAAGAAAGATAAATGCCTCTGAAGACTGTTTAAACGGTAAATGGTAATCTATTACAAATTTTAGTTCCTTTCATTTGAATCTGTCAGATACTGTATATTCTCATGTATAAACCAACTACCTGTATAGTGCAACCCCAGAATTTTTTGCATGAATTTTAACCCCTCCAAGAAAAATTACCCACATATAGTACATCATTTTTAATTCCTTTAAAAGCATTACCTGTTTATATAGTGCCTCTCACCTATTTTCTGCATAAAAGATGATCATAAAAACTTTCACTATACTCAAGTATATATGATATGTCTATATCAATGATTTTACAAGTATGCATATATAGCTGGGCACTCATATTCTAGAGAGGCTAGCCAATCCCTATTGCAGACACTTGCCCAGGCACATTTGTGTTTACTCAACACCCATGGAGCCCACTTGTGGTTTATACTGCAACTATGCTGAGCAGACCTTAGTTACAGTTTCTCAGAAAGAGTGTGTTATCTAGCATGATCAACAATTTGAACAAGGCCAGCACGCTCAACCCCTGACCATGATGACTTGTGACATAGTACTAGCACAGCTATCAATGGCTCTAAATGGTTCTGTCTACCCAATTTCACTCACAAGGCTTGGGTCAACCCATGACAAGGTTTTCAGGCACTTTTCAAAGGTGCTGCATGCTGGCATCCACACCTCCAGTCTGATAACATCACAAAGTCTCTTTTCTGACAAATCAACCATGGTGATATTTGAACCCAGGTCTCATGGTCAGAATGCGAATACACTAACCACTCGGCCATGTCTATATCAATGATGTTATAAGTACTGGAATGTAAAACTGTTGTTGTTTAATTCTTTCATATCACAGAACAGGGACTGGGAGGGCTGATGAAAAGACAAAGCTTACATAGAACTACAAAAGATAAGAAATTGTGGAGAGCCATAACAGCCCATGTCACATGGCAACAGCAAAGAAGAATTCCCACTTGAAACAAATCAGTAAAATATTTCTACATACACGGAATATCACAGATCTATTAGATGTGTTCATATACAATTAACATCAAAGATTTTACAAGGACAGAAAAGTAAGTCTAACCTATTGTTTTTCAATCTCATCCACTTCAACTAGATCAGTAAAATTTTTCTCTATGCAGTGAATATCACAGATTTTACAAGCACTAAAAGATCATAATTTTTTAAATCCGATATATTAGATATGTTCATATATAGTTACTATCAAATATTTTACAAGTACAGACAAACCTCTCATCAATGGACTAATAGCGGGAAGGGATGGTCTGTTAAAGCTGATTGTTTTTGAGTTATAAAACCACTATAGTAATTACCAGTACTTATGATCATAATGTAAATACTATAAACATGTATATATGGTATAAATAAATTTATACTTAATATAGATATATTAATCAAAATAACAAAAATAATACATTTCTCACAGCTACTTTCACATGCATGTACTAATTTATCGTATTCTATATACTGTACACCTGTCTTTGTTTACAATTGAAAATCCCGCCACTGCTGCCATATGGTCACTTTGAAAACTAATACGACTTGTTCTACTAAGCCCACAAATTTTGAAATACATTGCTGATGATTTGGGAGTTTTCTTTCTTGCAGATTGCTTTTATTTTTCTGCAGATTTTGTCCATTCCATCCAAAATCCGTTGATGGAGGGTTCGTAGATGAGAGGTTTGTCTGTACAGGAAAGTAAGCTTAATGTTACATTTTTCAATTTGATCCTCTCCAATCAAATCAGTAAAAGATGTCTACATGCAGTGAACAACAGAGATTTTACAAGTACTCAAATGTCAAGCTCACTTAAAAGATAGGGTCATCAAACAGTGCTAATGTCTCACAGGGTGTATAAAGCATATTGCTTGCAATAAATTTTCAAAACATGGCTTTTCCAAAACACAGCATGGGGCTCTGCAGATAGTCATACTGTCAAAATATCTATAGAATCATTTGAATTGCCAGATAGAATTTGGTTAAAACGCCACAGAAGAATATAATTCAAGTGTCAAAATACAAAATGCTAGAATATTTATTGCAAACAAGCAAAAGAAATAAATGATCAAAAGTTGTGAAACACACACACACACACATACATATACACACATGTACATGTATATATATATATATATACCTGTACATACACATGCACCGAACATATCCCTATACATAAACACACATTTATTTATAACTGCATTCCCACACTGATACCTGCCCATGTTCACATAGGCCAACTTACATATGTTTATACACACACACACTCTTAAGTACCTAGTTTTATATCAACATCACATTGAAACAATGGTTCTTGTACAATTACTGAAGTTAAGCAATGTTGAACCTCTGTACCTAGATGGGTGCCCACTTGGGAATACCAGATACTGTGAGCTTGGATGTGCAGATAGAATAATGTATAATGGCTTGGAACTTTTAACCAGAGAGCCAAGCTCCAATTTCTGTTGGGTTTGTCATATTCTCTTATACTCAAATACCCTTGGGAAAGGTATGAATCCACCTCATCTAACCCCAGCAATGGGTTAATTAGCAAGATATGTGTCACTAAATCATTTTCTTCCAAAAAAATTCTTACAATCTAAAATTATTTTCTAGTGTTAAATAACCTGCAAAGGGTTGACAAACTATAGAAAGTGAATCAATCAGTCGGTCTTAACTACCTAATATTAAGTAGGGCATTAATAATTAGGGGGGGGGATTTTTCTCAATATGCAATAAACAAGGAGTCTTGATAAAAGTGTGAGTCAAAATGTATGAAATTAATTAATGGGAGTGATCTAAATAACCTTGAGGTGAGGTCAGAAAATTTTCTCAAAAATAAGATACTCAAGAATATGTACCCACATATATATATATATATATATATATATAAAGAAGTAAAACAAAAAGTAAAAATAAAAGGCAAACTAGGGTATTCAAAATCTTGTTGCAGAAATCCTATCAGAAACAACAAACATATATTTGGGCTGCACAAATAAGAAATTTAGCCGAAACACTTGAAAAGAAAAATAACTGTTTCTAAGATTCATGCAAAGAAAACGAAAGGACAAAAAGAAACTTTCCTTTACATGCTTAATTAAACTAACGTGGAAAAAAAAAATCTCCCTTGTTAACTTCAGTGATATGAAAGCCTGATGATTTTTGTTTTTGTTTGATTTTCTTTTTACTGTTTTGTTTTTATCCTCCTCAACTACTCCATTTATTCCTGGATTCAGAATTTCAAGTTCCTGTCAACATTATTGAGACAAGGGATATTTTTCAGAAGAATTGTGAGCTGGCATCAACAGCAAGTTTATCGAAATCAGTTTGATCAATCTTGCTCATAGAAAAAAAACAACAAAAACAACTGAAAAATATTGTTACCCACCCTCACAAAAAAAAATACTGAATAGAGTATTTCACCTTGTACAGTTTGAAATATGGTTATATATTAATCTCTCAGTTAATAAAATGTTCATAACAGAATTTACAATATCAATTTGAATGATGCATTATTCAATATATTGATTTATTCTCTCTTTATCTTTCTCAGTCTCCTTGTCCTTCAATTTTGATTTCTTTCTTTTCTTATTTTCTTTCTGTTAGTTTCTATTTTCCTTTATGCCTTTCTTTCCTTTCTTCTTCCATGTTCATTTTCTGAATTGAATTTAATAAATAGCAACTATTCACTTCCCTCATATCCGTACACAGAACCTAAAAAAGAAAACAAATTAAAAATCGCTCCACCTCATTCTCACCCACAGACCTACGAAAAACAAGAAAGAAAATAAATTTAATTGTCCAATGGTAAGTCTTTGCATAATTTATTAGTAGTTAATGACAATTTACATGCAGAATTTAAATCCAAGCCAGTGTCCAATGTGTATTAATTTATCAGCATGGCAATACATTTTTAACAGATGGTTCACATCTAAAAACAGGCTTATCAGCATGGGTATGGTAAAGGTTTGGGATTTCAAAGGATGAAATCCTAGGAACATTAGATACTGGAATAATGGTGGCGATTTCATTGGTTATTTCAATTTTTTGGCCATTTTACTAAGTTTTTTCATGTGTCATTCAGAATGAATGTGTTTCTTTTCAAATTTCGTGTAGGCCAATTTTATCTGAAACTGAAGAATTTTAAATATTGTTTAAAAAAATGAAACAAAAGAAAAAATGAAACAAGTCTGAATGCTTGATTACTTTGGTATTTTTTGCCACTAGCGTATCACAGATATTATAAATTTTCTGCCAAGAATTTATCAAAAAAGGAAAATTTATGGTAAAAAGAAAAAAAGGACTAAATCTGAAAGAGAAAATGAGACTAAAATAATTAGTAGTAAAATGAAAATAAAAATTAATTAAATGGGAAAGAAAATAGAAAATGAGAAAGACTATGTAATAGCATAAGAAAGAAAGAAAGAAAGAAAGAAAGAAAGAAAGAAAGATGGTCAATATGTAAAAGTAAAAATATTCATTAGAAAGAAAGGAAGAAATAAATAATATCAGGAAAATTTCAGTGACAGTATGATAAAGAAAGAAAGAATAGCAACATCAAAAGAAAGAAAGAAAATGTAATTTATAAATGTAAGGAAAAGAAATTAGAAAGAAAGAATTTAAAAAAATGGAAGGAAGGAAGGAAGGAAGGAAGGAAGGAAGGAAGGAAGGAAGGAAGGAAAGAAGGAATGAAAGAAAGAAGGAATGAAGGAGGGAAGGAAGGAAGGAATGGAAGAAGGAAGGAAGGGTAAATGAAGGAAGGAATGAAGGAAGGAAGGAAAAAAGGAAGGAATGAAAGAAAGAAGGAAGAAAGGAATGGAAGAAGGAAAGAAAGAAGGAAGGAAGGAATGAAGGAAGGAAGGAAAGAATGAAAGAAAGAAGGAAGGAAGGAAGGAAGGAAAAAGAATGAAGGAAGGAAGGAATGAAAGAAGGAAGGAAGGAAGGAAGGAAGGAAAAAGAATGAAGGAAGGAAGGAATGAAAGAAGGAAGGAAGGAAGGAAGGAAGGAAAGAAGGAAGGAATGAAAGAAAGAAGGAATGAAGGAGGGAAGGAAGTAATGAAAGAAAGAAGGAAGGAAGGAATGGAAGAAGGAAGGAAGGGTAAATGAAGGAAGGAATAAGGAAGGAAGGAAAAAAGGAAGGAATGAAAGAAGGAAGGAAGAAAGGAATGGAAGAAGGAAAGTAAGAAGGAAGGAAGGAATGAAGGAAGGAAGGAAAGAATGAAAGAAAGAAGGAATGAAGGAGGGAAGGAAGTAATGAAAGAAGGAAGGAAGGAATGGAAGAAGGAAGGAAGGGTAAATGAAGGAAGGAAGGAAGGAATGAAAGAAGAAAGGAAGGAAGGAAAGAAGGAAGGAAAGAATGAAAGAAAGAAGGAAGGGTAAATAAATAAAGGAAGGAAGGAAGGAAGGAAGGAAGGAAGGAATGAAAGAAGGAAGGAAGGAAGGAAAGAAGGAAGGAATGGAAGAAGGAAGGAAGGAAGGAAAGAAGGAAGGAAGGAATGGAAGAAAGAAGGAAGGAAGGAAGGAATGGAAGAAAGAAGGAAGGAAGGAATGAAAAAAAGAAGGGAGGAAGAAAAGAAGGAAAGAAGGAAGGAAGGAATGGAAGGAAAGAAAGAATGGAAGAAGAAAGGAAGGAAGGAATGAAAGAATGTAGGAAGGAAGGAAGGAAGGAAGGAAGGAAGGAAGGAAAGGAGGAAGTAAGGAAACACCCACTCATGAGGTATTGTAGATTTTAATATAATATTAAAGGAAAGAAGGAAGGAAGAAAAGAAGGAAGAAAAAATAATGGTATCAGAAAGAAAGAAAGAAAGCAAGAAAGAATTACAGTATCAGAAAAAAATGTAAGGAAGGAAATAATTGTATTAGAATTATGGAAAATATTATATTAAAAACTAAAAATATAAAAGAAAGAAAGAAAAATTTTTTAAATGTTGTCTCAGAAGGAAGGAAGTAAAAATATACAGTATCTAAAATAAAGGAAAATACACTCTACAGAATGGCAAGTAAAAAAAATAACATTTTATAGTGTCAATCTTATTACTGAAACAACTTAATTCACATTATTATGGTAAGGATAACTTGAGAGTATTTTGCCCAAACGATGACCATTTTGAAAAGAAAATATTACCTGAACTCAAGCACTAACTGTTGAGCTTAACAAAACATTTACCACCATTTTGTTCATTACATTTAAAAATTTGTCCAAAGTGTCATAATTTTTAGGGGAGACATGTAATTACAATGTTTAGCATACTCTTACACAAAGCCACATGAGAGTTCCAGCCAGTGAGAAGTAACTGACAATGACTTGTAAAGCTAGCTTATTAACCTACAAGTTTCACTGTCTGAGACAAAGAAGTTTGTAATGTGGTCTTACTGCCAGTGAACCAGCATTTCTATTGTCTATTAAAGCCTGGAGAGTAATGGTATGAGTTGTTATAATGAAAAGCAAGGGAAAATAAGACATAGAAATGCTATTTACTTACAATCTATCTACCATATATGTTAGCATAAGGCAACCTTTTAATCTTAAAAATCCCCACTCACTAAAATAGCAGTTTGTCTTACACACTAGGTTTAAAATGTGAACCTTAAATTCTGTGGGTTATGGTAAGTTATTAGCATGGGAGATTTTTGCTGGTAGGCTAACTTCTGCCTTGGTAAATAATGACACAAATATTTTCTACTGAAACAACTTAATTTACATTATTATGGTAGAGATAACAGTAAGTGTAGATTGCGAGAGTTAACTGACAATATCTCGTCTCCTTTTTTCGATGATGTTGAACAAAAACAAAACTGGATGTGTGTCGCAACAAGCTGTTTAAAGATTGCATTTGAGAACAGTGAAATGAGTGGATGGCTAGTGGTGAAAAGACATTCAGACTGCTATAATAGCTTACCAAAAACACAGCACCAACTCATGAGGTATTGTAGATTATGGTAATTAATTGAAAATATCTCCCACCATTTTTTCATTAGAATTTGAGTGGAAAGAAAGTAAATGCTTACAGAATTCATTTAATAAATTCAATACAATACATTTTAAAATACAATTTGGTGGGGTTGTCTTGTATGGACAATATAGCCTGAAACCTATATTTTAACATGAACATTTGGGGATTGTCTTATATGCTCAGTCACTTTGTCTTTCTTTTTATGTGCTGTGTCCTTTCAGGATGTAGGCGATCATGGCTCTCCACTTCCTCCTATCCCTTGTAGCTCTCATTAAGTTTTATCCCTCTGCCACCTTCCCCAAAACACATACTGCTATCCACCTGCTTAAGCCCGCAAGGTATGTCACACACTGTTTTCCCTTGTCTCTCTTTCCCTCTATTCAACCTGTGAATATCAGATTCTCCAGGTCCTCCTTTCTCATTACATGTACCAGAAACTTCAGCTGCCTCTTCCTGATGTTAAGTATAAGCCTTCTCCTTGTTTGCATCCTCTCCAAGACCTCATCATTGCTCACAAGCTCGGTCCATGATATCCTTTGCATCCTTCTGTAGAACCACATCTCTGTTGCCTTGAGTCTCTTCCTTATCTTTGAGGAGACCGTCCAACATTTACTGCTGTAAAGGAGGACAGATGTCACATAACAGCTCAGTATTCTTTTCTTTGTTACCTAAGAGATCCTCCTGTACACCAACATATACATTATCTACCTATGTGATGAATTGCCAAAAGGTTTTACCCTGACCAAGAATGGACACCCCAACTAGAATTCTGATGTTTGTTCATTCAGTTTATCTATCTCTATATATCTATATACATTTTAAACATAGTATATTCATGCAGCAGTCAATCATTTATACATGTTCTAGTAAACAGGATAGATAATGAATGTCTGTTAAGCCTGTAAAAACGTCTGTTAAGTAGAAGCATTTGGCTAAGTTCCTTCTTGTATGACACAGTGGAAACCAATTGTGATCAAGTTACCCACATAGAAGTCAATAGTAATTGTTTTTAGCTGAGTCTCAAGTGTCTGGATTTTTTTATAACCAGCAATAAAATCTATAAGATCTTCAAAGTAGCCATCTGCTGAGCAAATATCCGCTCTAAAAAGAATACCCGCTCGGCCCGGTGGCCAGGATCAAAGTGTAGTATCTGCGCTTTGTGAGCTGCCGGGTTGGGTGTCTGTCGAACTCTCTGCTTGCAGAGGGGAACCCGGACGAGGGAGGTTGACGGAACTAGCCCGCTTGGACGGGTTTAGATGGGTTTTATTTTTGGCTGGGCCTACGGGCTCAGACATACCCACATTAAAAAGGCCTTGTGCCACATTCAATTCCTGTGGGTGAATTGATAAATACCATCTGCTGAGCAAATATATGAAAACTTTTGGGATTAAGTGCCACTTGGCCTGAAGTTAGAAATATCCACTTGCAGGCTTAACTAAACAGTCTCAGAATTGAAGGTAGTTTCAATGATGTTTGTTGTTTGGGTTAAAGGCTGTCCACAGAGAAGAAATGAATTCTAGACCATCTATGAAAGAGTCATTTGTGAGCGAGTTGCCAGCCACACGTTGTGATGTAGTGGTGAGCAGAGGGGTGTGTAGAAGAAAATCCTTGTTGCCTAAAGAGAAAAACTCATCCATTTATTTGTCATATCAGTAACAGAGGTTACCCCAAGTGTCACCTACATACCTGTCCCACTAGACTGTGCCAA